TACAATTTGCCAACTATGGCTTAAACCAAATCCTCTCTAGCATGAACAAATTTTTGAGAGAAGGGAAAGAGCAATATAGATGGAGAAAGAGAAAGAAAATAGAGAAAGAAAGAGCTTGTGGCAGTGGTCCGGAAATGAAAGGAAAAGGGAAGGAAATGGTCTAGAATGAAGCCACCTCATGTCTCTAGAATTCTCTAGGCTATTCTATGAGTCAAAATGACAACAATGCCCCACGAACTTCTTTGTATCTTCAACGTTGCCATAAAATACCTCCTCCCATAAAATACCACTAATACCACATACATACATGTATAGATATACACATACACATATGAAATGCCGATAACACCCCTTACTTAAGATGAGAAAGCCGGAAGAAGTTCTCGAGTCCGGAAATCGTCCCGACCTCCAAAAATTCTAAAAATGATACCGTCGCTTCTAATTGACTTAAAATGAATAAAAAAATAAAAATAAAAAATACACTTCTAAAACCCTCGACTCAACAATTGACCAAAACGCCCCTTAGGGCCCGCGTGGCATGCAAAACGAGACAAGGATTAAAATAATTTAGAAAATCAAATAAATTCCAGAAATTAGAAAAACGAAAAAAATCGGTAACTTCACAATTTAATTCTAGATGTACATAATAATGGTGTCTAAAGCTTTTAAGCTTCATTAACAATTTAAAATCAAGAAATAAAATAGAATTGATGGATCATTTGTAAGAGATGCTGAAATTGACAACTTCGCATGATGTCCTTCAAACAGCTTTTGGTGGATGTAGATGGTGTACATGTTTTCAATTATTTAATACGCTTTCATGGGCAGTTAGGTTAGAGAGTGCTACCAGGATGCAATTATTTTGCAGGATGAGGAATTTAATGTTGCTACACATGGTAGATTTTTGTAGCTGGAATTTAATTTAATCTGCGAATTGTTTGGTTCATTGAAATATCACAAGTACAAGAGGAAGACTAAAAGAATATGGATTGAGGTGGCAAGAGAATACATTATTACATGTGTTCAAATGAGGATACAATCATTGATAGGGCTCACTGGTGAAAGATATTTGTTTAGCGGACTTCACATAGTTCAGGTTTCTGGCTTTTTTGAGCCACTTTGGCACTATCTTTAGGCGTCTAAATTGATTATCTACCACTACACAGGGTTTTAGAATGCAGAAAGAGGCAGTGTGATTGCATACAACTCAATGAAGCCATATTAACTTTTTGATATGGACTATATGAGTGTTACTATTATGTTCTATTTAGAGAACATAGTCAACCACATACTGTCATGTCTTTAATACAACTGGCATCAACCACAATGTGGACCATGTCACTCTTTCTTTGACATCACTTCAATGTTTGCCACACCACTCTTTTCTCAACGCTACATATTGGTCTCAATTTATATGGTCAAACAATATTAGGTGCTTTTCTCTTTTTGTTTTTTGATTAATGCTGCTTTTACCATTTCATGAATGTGTTCATTCCTAGATTAATCCAGTATTTTCTTATTACAAATCCATCTCAACTCTGTATTTTGGTTGCACTCATTATAAAAAAATGGTATTTATTAGATGTCCAATTTTGTGTATTCTTTTCTCCATTTCAATCCAGCTTATCTTAAACCGTGTTAATTTTAAATTTTTCTTCTTGACTTCTGATTTAGCATTTAACATTACTTTAGTGATATTTTTTTTTAGTATCATGATTAATAAGGTGATTTTGGGTGGTTTTCTGGTACTGATTTTTATTGGAGAAAGAGGTACAATGACGAAGTAGAATATGGTGGTTTCCCACACAAAATTGGGTATTAACAGGACAATAATGGTGCCTGTGTCGAACTCAACTCTGTTCATGGTGGTTCATTCACATGCACACACATAAGGTAAGAATAAGAAAATGAGTAGAGTACTGACCTAGACAGCTAGAGACTCTTTTGAATCTTTGATGGGAAATTAAGAGAGAAAATGAGAAGAATTGTGCCAAAATAAATGAATTCCTTTGAGGCCAAGACAGAGTCAGGAGTCTAGACCGTTTATGTTTAAATAAAAGTTAAAGAAGGAATGATCACATGTGTTGTTGATGTGCTGATATATCTCACAAGCTTACACTGAATTTATATAACTTGAATAAACTATTAGCATAGAATTGTGCCACAACATGTATTGGCAACAATGTATATGGGAAGACAACATCGTACCTCCTTTGCTAAACTTCTCTGTCCAATAATTTCCCAGTAAAACTGAGTTAGAACCTAAAATACAAGTTCCTTCATGGAATGAGGATTGAAATAACATGTGCGGCTTGTGGTGGACAACTGGACATCTAGGTCATGTATTTAAGGGTGAAGGGTTCCCTACTCCAACGGATGAACGCCATTGTGTCAATAGTATTTCACTCAAGTTTCTTCCTGCAGAATCTTAAGGTTACAGTAATGATATCTTCATTCTTTCTGTCTAGAACTTGGTAATGTCATTGGAACATAGACTGATAATGGGTTTAATTCTAGGCTTGTCTGTGCAGCTTATGCCTGCCCAGCAACCTCACTAATATGGGCGTTTTCTGCTTACCATTGTCATTTTCTTCTGTCAAGTTTCAAATTCTCGTATAATATAAAAAGCGCTTATTGTGTCTTGTTTGTACATTCTCTCATAAAAAAAAAATAATAATGGGACCATTTCTGTTGACGAAAAGATGAAGATGGTTTTTAGGAGGTATGAATAATGTTATGGTTTTAATGTGGGTATTGTGAACTTGTCCCACCAAATTATTTTATGTCTAGCCTTGAGGGTTCCGAACCTTTTTTTTCTGTCAAATTTTCTCTTTTCTTTTCCAAATTTTCTATGCCCCTCGTTCTTGTGACCCATACCAAGTTCGTCTCCTCTATTTTGGTCATCACTTTCTCTATTTTACTCTCGTATTCTCTCTTCAAATCAAGAACAAAAATTGAAATAATTATAAAGGTCTCATTCTCAGTAGATTTCTTGGGTCAATATGCAGTGTGTGTTAAGATAAATTAGTTGTTTAAATTGAATCATGTTAGATTCATGGATTAAAGTAGGTTCTTGATAGCTCATGGACTTAAGGTTGCATACTTTATTAGTTTGATTGATTAAGTTGGACCATAAATATATTAGCTGAATGATGTGTAACATGCTTAAAAATAACTACTTCTGAGTTGGATTCTACCAAGATTTTTAGCCAAAGGGGGATATATGTATTTTTATTTTTATATCCTGACTTATCAAAAAAAAAAGAAACAAAAATTATTTTTATATCCTGGCAAGTAACACATGCACCCACATGCCCTTTTACGGACTTGAATCTGCAATTGAAAGGTGAGGAACAAATATTAGGCTAAATTGGTGATCTGTCAAAGAGGAATTAACTACGGATATTTTAAGTAATAGATAAATGAATCAAATTATATTAAATGGATTGACTTAGGAGTTTAGTTATTGTTGATTGTTGAACTTCAAAGTATTTCTTTGAGGGTTTATGAAGAGTTACTAATTGTTAATGTGAGACCTCTTTGAATTAAAGTTTTTTAAGCATAAATTTCTTATTATGATTTGGAAAGTCTACTTCCAATATTATAGGGAAACTAAGGTTTTATTACAAATTAGACTTGGATGAATTTTGAATTTTGTTCTATCAAACAATTTTACTTGAACCTAACTTTATAAAAAAAAGTTCAAGTTGTTTTCTCTTTATTTAAGGCTTATAATTTACGAATTCAAAATTTTATTGCATTTAAGGAAATTAGCAAAAGGTTACTTCTTCATGATTCTTAAGAAGCCTAGACCTAAAATTTACAAATTCTAGGGTTTATTTCATTTAAACATAATTTTTGTGGATTTTAAAACACCTTCAAATAGTATTTCTCAAGAGAATCCGACCTAAAATTTTGTGAATTTTAGGGTTTGTTAGCATAAGTAGCCATGAGTTTCTTAGCTGGCAAATCAGAACATGGAAGGTCTCGTCTAGAGGGAAAGCCTTTTAACCTTTTTACCCCTACCCTATGTGGCCAACGGCTGATTCCATTCTCTCTGTTTCTATGCTTAATTGTAGATCAATGCAAAAATAAGAATTCAATAATGATTGAACTTTTGTCAGTGAAAGAGATTAGACTTTAGTTGCTATAAGAAGAAACTCAAAAAACTTGAAAATAACAAGAGCATGATTACGAGCAACAATTACAATTATTGTGTAAGCTCACCACCAAGAATCTGTTCAGCATCTACAAGTTTCTTTCCGAATTTGCATCATTTGAAGAAGAACCAAGAATGTTATTTTGCTCTGCAGTAGCACTCCTTCCATTGGTTACACATGTTTGAGTTGAAAATAGAAAAACTTTATATTATTCTTATATATATATTACATGGTGGTTTTCACTGCTATTGAATTAAATTTTAATGCCAAATATATAGATATTTAATTTTCTATTAATAATAGAAAAAAGGTGAAAAATTAAGGAAAATCTTTCATGAACTTCTATTCATCCCCAAAATCGATAAAAATAAAATCTTCATAATAAACAAGATGGGATGTTTGATCTTCATCATCATGAACATTGTATGTTTTATCTTGTTCATAATCATCAAGATTGACGGGAGTTTCTGGCATGTTCTCCATTGTCGATAAGCTTATCTGGTTAAGAAATGGACTCTGATAAAAGCACATCAATATTTATCTTATATATATAGAATATACAGTATTAACTAAAAGCTAGAAGGATACGCGTGATGCATAAACCAATTTTTATTGGACGAAGGGGTTCAGGAGGTTCACCTCCTCTCTCGCAGATTATCAAAAACAGGTTGTAGAAACGCGTAAAGTCAATATGGATGGTTGGAAACCGTGTGTTCTACAAAACAACTCTAAAAATGTCACACATTTAATTTGATGATTTTTTTGTTTTGTTTTGTTAATCTGTAACTGTATTTATTTATTTAATTGCTCCAGAAAAGATAAAAATTACATAAATACATATTGAAGAGAAAGTTGATTCCTTATATTTGGGTAATTGGCTCAATGAACATTTTGATTGTTTTCATGCCCAATGAATTGGAAGCACTCATACATTCCTGCAAGTCCTTGTCACAGGCTATTAAAATCCGATCGCCATCATCATCTGTGTATTTGATCTTATGAGTTCCAACACTAAACTTTAACCTCTTGGAGACTTCCTCTTCCAACTCCACCATTCTTGATGACGACGGTAGTTGAAATTTTATAATATCATCTCTATATGTTGCCTTTATAGTTATGGTCTTTACTTCATGTGGTGGCGTTACAAGTGAAGTCATGTGAGCAACCGTAGTCACGAGTTTCTCAGCAGGCAAATCAGAACATGGAGGGTCTCGTCTAGATGCCAAGTTGTTAACCTTATTTCTCTTACCTTGCTTCCAGCGGTGGATTCCTTTTTTTCTGCAAATACGCTTAAATGTAGATCTGCTCACTATAAAATAAGAATTCAATAATAAAAACTCATGTAAAAGTTGAAAATGATAACAGCCAGATTACAAACATCAATTTCACTTGGTATGTAAGCTTACCACTAAAAATCTGTGCAACATCTTCAAGTTTCTTTCCGAAATGTTTTTTGAGCTCCTCATAAGTGATTGAATCTGCGTCATCTGAACGAGAAGCATGATTGTTATTTCGCTCTTCATTAACAACATTCCTTCCATTGTTGATATCATCAACTTCAACTAATAGTTGCTGATTTGATGAATGTGGTTCCATCATCTCTTGTCCATCATGTAAGAGTCTAGGTCCAGATGGAGTTCTAGTATTTTGGCATTGAAATGATGCATGTTCCTCATTCATGAGAGCCTCATCTGAACAAGAAATAAAATTGTTATTTCGCTCTGCATTAACAACATTCCTTCCATTGTTGACATCACCTACTTCAACTATTAGTTGCTGATTAATAAGATGATCTGCACCCGGCATATCTTTCTTGAAATTGTTGAGATTGTATTCTTCATCTTGTTCTAGAAGATGTTCTGCTATCTCCACCATTGCTGATGGGCTACCTAGTTAAGAAAGTGTATCAAGCACATCAATATTTAGTAATATATTTATATATATACACACTATTAACTGGGAAAAAAAAAGCCATAAGGATAGAAGTTGAGTGTTAAATGAACCATTTTCCTGGTGCAACAGGGTCTTCGGAGAAACTTGGATAGATGACACACACATGACCCTTTCAGGGAAGTTGAGTTTTGCTTTGTTGCCTCTAAATTTCAGGGCAGCTTCATCGTAGGCTAGAGCTGCCGCCTCTGCTGTGTCAAATGTACCTAACCAAACCCTTGCAGCCCTGCATGGGTCCCTTATCTCTGCTACCCATTTCCCCCATGGCCTCTGTCTTACTCCTCTGAAGTACATATTTGATCTTCTTCTCACTCTTGTTTCTTCATATGCAACAGCCTCAGTGGATGTTCCAATAGCTGGAACCGTAAACAAATAAATAAAAAATATGACAAAAATATAATTTGTCCTAGAAAGAACGAATTTTTTTAGAAATATTTACTCCAAAATTTGTTATCATAAAAAAGTTAAAAACTATGTCCTAAACATAATAAACTAAAATTACATAGTTTTCATAGATTATTAATACATGCAAGACTAAAATGTTCATTGTAGTGGTCCCTTTAATTGATGACGAGATGATAAGGTTAAAAATCTAAATTTTACCACCGTATGTTCTAAACATAAAAGATCAATTGCAAGAGTACTATTATTCTTTACCATCAATTGGATCAAGTTGAATTTGAAATTCTTCCAGAAATATTGAAATTGATCAAAATATGAAATTTAAATTTTTTTTTAAAAGAAATCATTGAAGTGTAGAAGCGCATATTTGATCTTCTCGGTTATCAATTGATTGGTGGTGGGACTGTGAGTTATCGAATCTGTAATACCACCACCTACACATTCAGTTCAAATTCAAATATATATATATATATATGGGTTAAGTGCGGAAAACACTCCTCTACTGCATTTCAACACAAAACACCCTCAAAGTGTGCAAATAAGTCGTACCTGACAAATTAACATCTTTTTCCAGTTCCCTATACTGTTTCATCACATCGCTAACGGTCTTCCCAGGAATCATGGCTGCAATGTAGTACCATCCGTCTGGCGCATCCTTATCGAACAAGGTGAGAGCTCTCTCGAACTGCTTGTTCTCTTGAGGTGTCCATTTTGTTCCCTTGCTTTCCTCAAACAGCCAATTCAAATTCCAATGATATGATTTTGGAGAAATAACTTCCATTTCTGGATTCAATGTTTCTTAATAATTACGGTGTACAATTGGTGGGCATAATAGCTAAAAGGCCAGAGAGGAAATGCAGAGAGTTGGAGTAACCTTTATACAAACTTTTGAAGATTTTTCATCACAAAAGTGAGACTCAAAAATCCATGAAAAGGAACTTCTGATAAACTGCACTGCAAAACCAATCAAAATGGTTCAAAGGAGGAGGAACCCAATTGAAGAAAACTGCTAAGATTACTTTCTTCAGTTCACCAGCATCCACATCATGCTGTAACAATTAAACAACAAATTGATCTCAATTTTTGAAGGATGAAAGCGTAAGATTTCCTAACAAAAGCTCCTAACAACAAAATATATGACCAATCTAAGAGATGAGCTTTTATGATTTTCAACTAGGCTAGAATATAAATTGAAGGGTAAATTACATTCACCTCCCCTCTCATTAGCTAAAAGCTCAAACAGCTCCCTCAACCTCACCAACATCGCCAAATTCACCCTACGAGTCACGCAATCAGGGTGACATCTTCTTCACCTCTTACATCTTAAAACATCAACGTATGTGTTATAGAGCCAATAGACCCCAAGAAATAGAGTACAGAAGGAAAAGAAATTGAGTAACAATGACCTCGGCTTCTTTTTAAACCAAAAACACCATTTTCAAACTGAAGATGGGTCAGTGGTCTACAAGGCGAAGGAAGGAAGAGCAAGGTGGAGGAGACGGGCACAGAGTATAAGAAAGAAGACAAAGCAGACGTGCAGGGAGCATGGGGTAGAGAATGAGACTACCCAGAAGATAAAAGAGATTGTTATTATATGTTTGAGGAAGATGAGAAGTCCATTGGTGATTATGTGAAATATTATGTGAGGAGGGCTTGGTTTGGTCTTTGGACCGACATCGCCTACCAAACCCTAATTTTGCTCGCCATTATCCTTTCTCTCTCTTCGCCTCTCCGTCACAGCTCGATCTCACAGTCCACCGTTGTGATTGATAAGGCAATCATTGTCACCACCAGCCGGTTGATATTTCGTGTACCTGGGTATGCAATTTGACACCATTTTTGGGGATTTCTTTATCAGAATCGGTGTATACTCAATTTACAGGGGTGGGTGGGTTCAAACTGGCGATTCAGGGCTTGTTCTTGTTTATTGTGATAGTATTGTGAATGGAGCAATTTGGTGAAAGGGTGGGTGTTGGTGGATTCCCTGTAAATTACAACACTGACAGAGATGAATTGGAGCATTGTTTATTAATCTCCATGGTCGAAAGGTAATATAACAGCAATTAGTAAATCAGTGTTTTGACTATTTTCAAGGTTAAATAGGTCTTTTGTCAACAGAGGGAAATTTGGACTTTCGGTTCTCAACAGGCTGACATCATCAGTTAACAGCATGACCAAATTTGACGAGGACGGACATCATGTCAGGGGAGGTAAATGATATTCTTCCAAAGGAGCTGTTTGAACTTTTAGCTAAGTAGAGGGAGGTGAGCTTAATTTACCCTAAATTTAAAGTTCATTGTTTTGTTGGTGGGCTACAATTGCCATAGAAAGCTCAAGGGTTCAACTAAAAAACAAAAAGAGAAATATAGCGACTGAATTTCTCTTTTCTGCTGCTATTGAATTAAACTTCCATGCCAAATACTAGATATTTAATTTTATGTTGATTGAAAATTTTAACCAAAAAATAAAAAAATTGAAGCGAAAAATTAAGGGAGACAGAAAGAGAGAGAAAAAGAAGCCCGCTTACTGAAATAAGAGAGCAGCACTGAAGAACTCTTTCATGAAATCAGATCTACCGTCTCCACCATTGTGGATGAGCTACTACCCCTGGTTAAGAAAAGGACTTTGCATCTAGACCATCAATATATAGTAGTGATATAGATACACACTATTAAATGATAAAAGAGAGAGAAAAAAAATATGGCAAGGGGATAAAAGTCTGACTAATAAATGAACATTTTTCCAAAGGGTTCAAAAGATTCTTATCAAGTAGGAGGAAGGGGCTCAGAAAGTTCAACTTCTCTCTCGCGGCCGCAATATTATCAAAAGACTGAAGTCGATGTCAAAAATATTATGCCACGCTGCCGACTTTGGAGTTAGAAAACTCGTAATTTTCCTCATAAAACGGTGCCGCATCAGGTCAATCAACACCCTTATTAAAACCACGCCGTTTTTTTTCCTGTAAAATAGGCCAATAAGCCAATAAAATGTTGACAACACATTGCAAGGGATAAGGTTTGCTTGACCATACAGAACCAACTCCGATCACACAGCAACCCACCTCTTGCACCAAATCCGATCAACACCAATAGATTCATATACTGGTTGTCGAAACTCGAGGCCAAGTACTCACCTACAATTTCTGGATTTGTTCTCCCGGTTAATGGATTGTGTTTATTCTATTATTTTTGGTTCAATAGAAAAATAACATACGGCGAGTTCCAATAAATTTGGTAAGAATTATAACCCATAAATATTGGTGTTATATATATATATATATAACGACGGATATATATATATATATATATATATATATATATATATAGATATTATTATTACTATTATTATTATTAATGGATGGATCAGTTATATATATACATACCTTAATATATATATATTAAGGTGTATAAATATATATATATATATATACGTGTATTATTATTATTATTATGGTGAGTCTTATTATTATTTGTTGTTATTAATAATACTAGGAAGTATTAGTTGCAAATATATATAGATAAATATTATAGTATTATTATTATTTTATTTTATTTTTTTCTTTTTTATCAACCAACGTGAGTTAGGATTAGTATTAGGTTACATATATGTGTTCTGTATAAATGTATATGTTGTGTCTAGGAAGGGTTTAGTAACCCTTGTACGTAAACACAGAGAGACAAGAACTGTTGCGCAAAGAAAGAAAAGAGAGAACTGCGAGGGATTTTGGGAGCAAGGCTAAGAAAGAATAAGGCCGAACCCATGGAAAAAGAGAAGGAGGCTGCTCGTGGGTGTTATCTAGTTTAGCAGAGGAGAATGACGGCAACCAGAGGCTGCTGGCGAGGAGGTTTTGGCCGGAGAAGAAAGGAGTTGGGTTTTTAATCCAAAACCCTTAAAGGCAAGTTCTATGTTATACTCGTCTTCTTTGATCTAGTGTCCAATACATGTCTAGGACAACTTTAGGATGTTCAAGCAATATTAATGAACCTGTATGCATGCTAATCTGGATTAAAATCAGAAAGTTACATATTTATATATATATATATTGATGTTTTATTTTTGATATTGAATTATGATGCATGTATTGTTGTCTAAACTGAATCTAATCACGCGTAATCATCTTAAATAATTAATTGGGTCATTTGGGACTTGGTACAGATGTTTAAGACCCTTAACAGAGGAGAATGGGGCGATAAAGAGTCACCAGAGACAGAGAAGAAGGAGAGTCGTAAGCCGAGAGCTAGCTCCCTTGAAAAGGAGCCGGCTCCCTTGCTGGAAAAGTGCAGATTGTGTTCTTTGAGATGTAATTTGATATTCGGGGGTTTCCAAAGCTATTTAGCTCGTATTGGGTGTTTTAAATGACTAAAATGGACATGATAAACTCCTAGAATGCATAATATACATTAATATATGGTTTGATTAATTCACATAATGCATAATATACAATAATATGCAATGACATGGAATTTTATGTAATTTAATTGAGATGTAAGTTAATTACTTGTTTTATAAGTTAATTACATGCTACTTAAAGTTGTATATTGTTTAATTAAATGTAATGGATATTTGTATGATTATTATTATATTTATTTCTAGATTACTTGATGTACATACATGTTTGTATCATTGTTTGGATTGGAAACCATTGTTTGGATATGGTTATAGATTAATGCACCATTGTCAGAATATGGGAGCATATTATGGATGGGCTGGATAATAAGTTTAGTCTCATCTCTTCGTGTTAGGTTACGAAACTATGTGGATGACATGCCATTGAAAGACTGGCGCATAGTTTATTTTTATTGTTTTGGATTTGGATATTTTTTGCATAAGCTGACTAATAAGTTTAGTCTCATACTTCGTGTCAGGTCACGGATTCATAGGTGGATGACATGCTATTGAAAGACTATGGCGGATATGATGTTTTATGTTTTGGATATGATAGGAATTTATATATATAGATATGTGCCACGATAAACGCTTGAGTTCTCAGGATCAATGGTTAGGGAGCGTATATTGCCTGAGATGCATAACTAGATATAGTGAATTGTGATGTGCCCTGGTAGATAATGGTACTCATGCTTACCGACGGATTTTGTATGTTGCTTACTATAAGATTGAGGTGGCCTATAGTCCAGTGAGAGTCCTTTAGTGTGTATATATATATGTATACAGACTATGTAGTTATTGCATGAGTTGACTAGGATGTATTTGTTTCTTAGGTCTCTGTGAGATGTAGTACAATGAACTTGTTTATGGGCCTGACCACTATTTATTTTTCAGGTCTATGATAGTACCAGGTGTAGATTTTGTTCGTGCAGAGTAGAGACCAATCATAATCATTCTTCCAGTTATCTACATAGGATTTTGGTTTATATTTTCAGTATTCAGATGTAGATATTTATTACTGTTATTTATTTCCAATTGGGATTTTTTAGGGGTCCATGGATTCCCGAATTGTATTTTGGAGGATTAGTTGTATCTAAAGAATTTATTATTTAATCGAAATTTATTCTGAGGATTTCAATATTGGATTATTATTCTAGTTTTCATTTCAACATTTTATTTATTCTTATTTATCCTTTTTTATTCTGTGTTCATTTATTGCCATATTGTTTTTGATATCTTCGTGTTTTCAGGTGTGGGCTTGGCTAACCTACACGTGGAAATTCAGGGGTATCACAACATTGTTTGCATTTCATACACACATATATATGTACATGTATCTATACATTGAGGAGATATTTTAGGGACTTGTATGGCATTGTAATGGAAGGATAAGGACAAAGGGGTAACTTTGCCAAAAGTTAGTAATCCACAAAATGTTGACACTTGACATTAAAGTTTAAGGAAAATATTAAAATCTTTGTCCTTCTATTTTTAATCAGTTTTACTTAATTTAACAATTAATTAATTAATCACATGCAAAATAAAAGTAAAGTAAAGTAAATAGAGTTTGAGAGATGACACCAGGATTTTTAAGGAAGAGACCCCAATTGGTAGAATAGACCAATTGTTGTACCTCGTGGACTGTGCAGTTTAAAGTAAACCGATCCACTATGTTTGAAACAAAGTACAATGGACTTTGACTCCGGTTTATACCCTATCGTTCTACCAAACACCGTTGACAATCATCTGGCTTTGCGACGTCCTGTCCAACAGCCCTTGACTTCAGGCTTACTCTTGATTTTTGTAAAAGGATTGCTAATAGATCAAACAACACTCCTCAAATGCTTTGACCCTTTTAAAGTGTAATCGCTTCACCCCTGTTCTTCAAAATTTGAATTTGATGTAGAAGAAATAGATCTGCTTCTCTAATCATTATAGATGTGATATTCAATATACTTTGAACACGACCAGGAATTGAACAACACCCTAAAATCACTCTTGTGTTTATGTGTGTGTTCTAGAAATAAAAACAGAAAAATCATATTTGATTTTTTGCAAAATATCTCTCAGATAGGCTTTTAATAAATCAGAAGTTGTAATACAAAAGTCATATCAACCTAAATTTAAATCAAAGTTTATATAAACTTTCAAAGACTTAGATCATCTATACATAGGAAAATGTAAATTTCGTGCATAAGGCTTTTGGAAAGAAGTCTATACCAAATAGAAAGTTTAGACAGAATAGGAAACAAAAATCCTAAACTGTATCAGACATGTTGAACCAGTAGCAAAGTTGGAACCGGTTCCCAAAGGACAGAATGAAATTCTTCGAAGCACAGGATCTTGAACCGGTAGCCAATTTTGGTACCGGTTCCCAAAGGACAGATTTATAAGGGAAGGTTTAAAACTTAGAAAAAATCCTATTTTGGTAACTTCAAAAAACATACAATGTATGTATAGTGTCCTAAGTGGAAAATAACTTCCTAAAGTGTTGTTCATACCTTTTTCGTAAATATTAGTTTATCAAACTTGAACAACTTTCCAATTCCATAGCTGATCTCGATCTTGATTTGGTAACTTGAAAATTACAACTTGATCGGACTTGTTTTGACACCGAAATTAGCCAATTGCAAAAATTATATCTTACACACTATTGCTAAGGCTTGGAGGATTTCAAATTTGGGGGCTAGCTAAGGGCTTGCTTGGTTGCACACATTTGAGGTAGGGATTTCTAATGCTATTAACTTTTCCTTTCATTGAGCATGTCTACTTGATTTCTCTTGAATCCACTTTTGTATGTAAATTTGTGAGTGAAAATGAAAGCATGCTAGTGTGTGGTGCAAAGATGTATTTCTTATCATGCTAAAGATGTGTATAACATGGCTTTGGTGAAAAATACTTAAATTATAAATGTTAACATGATTTGTGACGATGCAATTTTGATAAAGAGCATGTTTGTGATTGAATCAAATAAAAATGCCATGCTTATGACTCTATTGTAGAAAATGTTATGGTTGTATTTAATATCTACGAAATGCCATGTTGAGTTGATTTACTTGAGAATGTCATATTCATG